CAACCATAACATTATTTTTGTTGCTACTTCATAACTGTAATTTTGCTACTGTTATGCATTGTCATGTAAATATCTGGTATGTAGCGTGTATTTTAATTCACTGGACCAAATTTGGCACAAATACCCAATACACCCAAATTTGACTACCCGTATACCCAGTCTGTGTATATGTGTTTTGTGTGTGTATATATATGTTTATGTGTGTGTATATATGTGTGTTTGTGTATATATATATGTATATGTATATATATGTGTGTGCATGTGTGTGTATATTTTTGTGTATTTGTGTGTTTATATGTGTACATGCATATTGTGTATGTGTGCTTGCCTATATGCATATTTGTGTGTATATGTGTGTGTATGTATGTGTATATGTATATGTGTGTACATGTGCATATATATAAATATATATGATATGTACATGTATATATGTTTATGTATATGTATGTGTGTATATGTGTACATTTGTGTGTGTTTGTGCATATATATATATATATATTCATGTGTATGAATACGTGCATGTGAATATATATATATGAGTGTATGTGTATACATGTATATATGGTGTAATTTTTGGGTTTATATGTGTACATGCATATTGTGTATATGTGTGTGCTTGTCTATATGCATATTTGTGTGTATATGTGTGTATGTGTATATGTATGTGTGTGAATGTGTGTGCATATATGTATATATATATATGTGTGTGTGTGTGCATGTATGTGTGCATGTGTATATGTATATGTGTGTATGTATATGTATGTGTGTATATGCATACCTTTGTGTGTGTTTGTGCGTATTGTACTAGTACATACATATGTGTGTGTATGAATATGTGCATATGTATGTGTATATGAGTGTATGTGTATATATGTATATATGGTGTAGTTTTGGGATTTTAAGTCTTTTCCATTGGGTTTTTGTATGTGTGTATGCGTTTAGGGGTGATGGACACTCGTTGGATTGTTAGGTGTATTGTGTCCAAATTTCATGTCAATTCTTCCAGTGGTATTTGAGTCATGCTAATCCCATAAACAAACATTCCATTTTTATTTATATAGATACTAGCTGTACCCGCCACGCATTGCTGTGGCCAACCTTCGCTCCCTCTTTCTCTCCTTCCTTCCCTCCCTCCCTCTTTCCTTTCTTCCCTCTTTTTATTTTCCTTCTTCTTTCTTCCTTCTGTACCTGTTTCTTTTCTTGTTTCCTTTGCTCTTTGATTGCATCCTTCCTTGTCTCTTTCCTTCCTTCCCTCCCTCTTTCTCTTTTTCGTTCCTTCACTCCTTCCTTCCCTCTCTCACTTTATTTCTTTCTCTCCTCCTTTCCTTTCTTTCTGTCCTTCTCTCCTTCTTTCCCTCTTTTTCTTCCTTCCTTCCTCCTGTGTATGTTTTGTGTGTGCGTATATTTGTGTATATATTTCTGTATATATTTGTGTATATGTGTGTTTGTGTACATATGTGCTTTTGCGCATGCGTTGTAATGTATTTTTTGTTTTCATAGAATCATAGAATCAAAGAGTTGGAAGAGACCTCATGGGCCATCCAGTCCAACCCCCTGCCAAGAAGCAGGAATATTGCATTCAAATCACCCCTGACAGATGGCCATCCAGCCTCTGTTTAAAAGCTTCCAAAGAAGGAGCCTCCACCACACTCTGGGGCAGAGAGTTCCACTGCTGAACGGCTCTCACAGTCAGGAAGTTCTTCCTCATGTTCAGATGGAATTTCCTTTCTTGTAGTTTGAAGCCATTGTTCTGTTGCGTCCTAGTCTCCAGGGAAGCAGAAAACAAGTTGCTCCCTCCTCCCTGTGGCTTCCTCTCACATATTTATACATGGCTATCATATCTCCTCTCAGCCTTCTCTTCTTCAGGCTAAACATGCCCAGCTCCTTAAGCCGCTCCTCATAGGGCTTGTTCTCCAGACCCTTGATCATTTTAGTCGCCCTCTTCTGGACACATTTCAGCTTGTCAATATCTCTCTTGAATTGTGGTGCCCAGAATTGGACACAATATTCCAGGTGTGGTCTAACCAAAGCGGAATAGAGCATGGGGAGCATTACTTTCCTAGATCTAGACACTATGCTCCTATTGATGCAGGCCAAAATCCCATTGGCTTTTTTTGCCACCACATCACATTGTTGGCTCATGTTTAACTTGTTGTCCACGAGGACTCCAAGATCTTTTTCACACGTACTGCTCTCGAGCCAGGCATTGTCCCCCATTCTGTATCTTTGCATTTCGTTTTTCCTGCCAAAGTGTAGTATCTTGCATTTGTCACTGTTGAACTTCATTTTGTTAGTTTTGGCCATTCATCTCTCTAATCTGTCAAGATCGTTTTGAATCTTGCTCCTGTCCTCTGGAGTCTTGGCTATCCCTCCCAATTTGGTGTCGTCTGCAAACTTGATGATCATGCCTTCTATGCGTGTGTATATATTTGTGTATTTGTGTGTTTATATGTGTACATGCATATTGTGTATGTGTGCTTGCCTATATGCATATTTGTGTGCATATGTGTGTGTATGTATGTGTATATGTATATGAGTGTACATGTGAATATGTATATTTGTGTGCATGTATGTGTCCATGTGTACATGTATATGTGTTTATGTATATGTGTACATTTGTGTGTGTTTGTGCACACATATATATTATATATACATATATATATATATGTATATATATATATGTTTGTGTGTATGAATGTGTGCATGTGTATATGTATATGAGTGTATGTGTATATGTATATATGGTGTATTTTGGGTTTTTTTAAAGTCTGTTCCGCTGGGTTTGTGTGTGTGTGTGTGTTTAGGGATGATGGACACTCGTTGGACTGTTAGGTGTATTGTGTCCAGAATTCGTGTCAATTCATCCAGTGGTTTTTGAGTTATGCTGACCCCACAAACTAACATTACATTTTTATTTATATTTCTATATTTATCTTTTATATATGTGTGTGTATGTTTGTGCGCGCGCATGTTTGTGTATTGGTGCCTATTGTAGGTTTTTAAAAGGGCAAAGATAGTTTCCATTATGCTAGAAAGTTGGGGTCTGGAGAAAAAATGCATGGGGTGTGTGTGTGTTCATTTTACACACCTCCCTCTCCAATAAATGAATAAGTAAATAGCTGCACCCTTGGGTTGTCTATGGAGGATGATTTCCAAACCCCCAAATCAATTCACCTTCCATGCTAGCCTGCTATGAACTCACTCTGATCTCCGCATGGCAAACCCTCCTCCCTCCGGGCAAGCCAAGGCGCTAGTCCTCATGAGCCCCGATTAGAATTCCAGCCACGCCGGGGAAGCAGGCGAGCTTGATTTAAAGCGGGCCCCGCCTCCTTGCTTCCCCCATTGGCTGCCTTCTCCCTCGGCCTGCTCGCCCATTGGCTGGAGCCTCATCCCACCGCCTGGTCTCCCCCCCCCCCGCCCCAAATTCTCTCATTGCGGGGCGAAGGCAGGAGAGCCCAACCCAGGCATTTCTCTGCAGGACCCGAAGCCCGGCGGAGAGCGGAAACCCGGCACCCAGCCTCCGGGCATCCGGATCAGCTTCGCCTCCTCCTCCTCCTCCTCCTCCTCTGCTTGATCCGCATCATCATCATCACCATCATCCTCTCCTCAATTCCTTTAAAAGAATGACCTCCAGAATCCCAGCCTCTTGCATCCTGCACGGTTTTTGAATCTCTATCTAACCATCTCTCCTCGACCTTCAGAATCCCAACCTCTTCCAGAAGCCTATCTATCTATCTATCTATCTATCTATCTATCTATCTATCTATCTATCTATCTATCTATCTCATCTGCTAGCTTCCATCTTCAAAATCCCAACCTTCTTCTTTCTACACTAGCCTTAGTATCTGACTACTATTTATCTGTCTGTCTGCTTATCTATCTGTCAGTCTGTCTATCTATCTATCTATTTCTATCATCTTCCATCTCTAAAACCCCAGCTTCTTTATTTCTGCACAATCCTTTAATTTTTGATCTATCTATCCTTTTATCTTTCTATCTAGCTATCTATCCTATCTTTCTATCTATCCATCTATCCTTTTATCCTTCTATCTATCCATCTATCTTTGTATCCAATCATCCATCTATCCATCTATCTTTCTATCTATTCTTTTATCTTTCCATCTATCTATCTTTCTATCCATCAATCTATTTATCTTTTTATCCTTCTATCTATCCATTTATCTTTCTATCCATCTATCTCTATCTATCTATCTATCTATCTATCTATCTATCTATCTATCTATTCTTTTATCCATCTATCCATCTATCTATTCTTTTATCCTTGTATCTATCTATCTATCTATCCATCCATCCATCCATCCATCCATCCATCTATCTATTTATCTATCTTTTTATCCTTCTATCTATCTATCTATCTATCTATCTATCTATCTGTCCATCTATCTATCCATCTACCTACCTATCTATTCTTTTACCCTTCTATCCTATCCCTCTATCCTATCTCTCTCTCTCTCTATCTATCTATCTATCCATTGTTTTATCCACCCATCTATCTATCTATCCAACCATCCGTCTGTCCATCCATCTATCCTTTTATCAATCCATCCATCTATCTATCTATCCATCCATCCATTTATCTATCTATCCATCCATCGGTCCGTCCATCCATCTATTTATCCTTTTATCCATCTATCTATTTTATTGTTCTCTCTCTCTCTCTCTATCTATCTATCTATCTCTCTATCTATATCTCTATCTATCTCTCTATCTCTCTATCTATCTGTCGATCTGTCTATTCTTTTATCCATCTATCTATCTGTCTGTCATCTTCTCTTTCTCTTCAGCCTCCAAAATCCCAGCTTCTACACAATCCTTACTTTTTACATATCCATCGCTCTGTTTACGACCTCTATAACCGCAACCTTCCCTTTCCGACACATTCCTCTACTTTATAATATCTACTATCCACTCCTCTCTCCATCCATTCTCAAATTGTGAGAGTGGAACTCCAGAAGAAAACCAAGGAGGGTCCTCTTGTTCCAAGGTGCTAGTCCCTGCTGAGGGCTAGGCGTGAAAATATTATTTTTCCCAGTCTATATCAACCTCTGTTGGGGGATTTTGGCCATCATCAGGACCATCTCTCTCATCGTTGACCCCTGTCTTGGACTTTTGTTTATCCCAACTGAAAAACAACAACAACAACAACAACAAGAGGAACTTCTTTGGCGTGGACTTTCCTTCTCCCTCCAGAGTCCAGACAGACTGCAGTGTCTGGTCTTTTCAGAAGGGGAGAGGATTTCTCGCTTTGCTGAAGAGGAGAAGAACGGTAAGACCATTCCTTCTCTGTTATTATTACCGAACTTCATTGTTGGTTTTGGCCTCTCTTGGGTGATTTAAAAGTCAAAGTTGGGGAGAAGCGAGAGGCAAGGGTTGGGAAAAAGGAGCCAGGGTTGAGTGTCCTTTAAGGCTGTCACTTAATGCACTTTGAAGGTGCATTACATGGACAGTATTGACCAGGCATGAGCCAATTTTGGTCCTCCAGGTGTTTTGGACTTCAACTCCCACCATTCCTAACACCCTCAGGCCTCTTCCTTTTCCCCCTCTCCTATGATACCTATCTCCTATGATAACAATGTAATGAGTCATCACAATGAAAGTGGTGTTAAACCGCATCAATTCTACAGTGTGGATGCACTGTTAAGTCATATGATGCAAAGCCAGCATGATCTGCAAGGCAGTTAAGGCAGAACTTTTGGATTTAGACAGAGATTTAAAAAAAGGGCTATGGATTCCCCCACGCTGTAAGCAGCCAGACTTTGAAGATGCAAGGCCATTCAGTGCTAATTAACTATGCTGGCTTTTGCATTCAGTCACACGTCAGACACTTTCCAAGTGTTTATTATTATTATTATTGACATTTTTATTATCATCCCAACAAAGGATTCCCCCAGGCAGGAAGCAGCCAGGCATTGAACCTGCACGGCCATTCAGTGCTAATCAACTATGCTGAATTTTGTATTCGATCACACATCAGACACTTCCCAAGTGTTATTATTATTATTATTATTATTAGTAGTAGTATTATTATCAACATCTTTATTGTCATCATCGCAACAAAGGATTCCCCCAGGCAGGAAGCAGCTAGGCTTTGAAGATGCAAGGCCATTCAGTGCTAATCAACTATGCTGGCTTTTGCATTCAATCACACGTCAGACACTTCCCAAGTGTTATTATTATTATCATCATCATCATTGTCAACATTTTTATTATCATCATCCCAATGAAGGATTCCCCCAGGCAGAAAGCAGCCAGGCTTTGAAGCTGCAAGGCCATTTAGTACTAATCAGCTATGCTGCTTTTTGTATTCAATCATACATCAGACACTTCCAAAGTGTCTATTATTATTATTATTATTATTATTATTAACATTTTTATTATCATTATCTCAAGAAAGGATTCCCCCAGACAGAAAGCAGCCAGGCTTTAAAGCTGCAAGGCCATTCAGTGCTAATCAACTATGCTGCCTTTTGTACTCAATCATTCATCGGACACTTCCAAAGTGTCTATTATTATTATTATTATTATCAACATTTTTATTATCATTATCCCAACAAAGGATTCCCCCAGGTAGGAAGCAGCAAGGCTTTGATGCTGCAAGGCCATTCAGTGCTAATCAACTGTGCTGGCTTTTGTACTCAATCACATATCAGACACTTCCCAAATGCCTATTATTATTATTATTATCATTGACATTTTTATTATCCTTATCCCAACAAAAGATTCTCCCAAGCAGAAAGCAGCCAAGCTTTGAAGCTACACTGCTATTCAATGCTAATCAAGACAGCCAATGGCAGCATTCACACTTGTCTCAAACAAACAAGAGTTATTTTTCCCACCCTGGACATTCCACAGATATATAAACCTCACTTGCCTAGTCTCCAAAAGACCTCTCAACCTCTGAGGATACCTGCCATAGATGTGGGTAAAACGTCAGGAGAGAATGCTTCTGGAACATGAGCAGACAGCCCAGAAAACTCACAGCAACCCAGTGATTCTGGCCATAAAAATCTTCGACAACACAAAAGGATATGTGTTTGTGTGTGTCTATAAGAAATGACAGATCCACAACTCAGAAGGAAAAAGGGGTCCAAATAATAGTTTGGACATTGAGTTCAAGCAATGCACTTGACTCTGTGCCATTAAGGCATTCAATAAACCTTGTCCCTTTATTTATATGTTTGGGATGCAGATACACTATCGAATAAATGCATTTCCCTCCACTTTAACAGCTATGGAATTGCGGAAAGTATCACTACACAAGGGCTTTCGCCTTTTCCAACAAAGAGTGTTGGAACCTCGCCAAACTATAAGTCCCAGGATTCCGTAGTATTCAGCCACAGTGGGGTCAAATTGCATTAATTCTACAATATCAATGCTCCCTTGCATGTCAAAGAGGGCTTTCGTGGATTGAGCCGGAATGATTAGGATCCAACCCAGATTCGGCTGGTGCTGGCAGATTCGGTTCCTAAAAATAAATCCTAAAAGGAAGCTGAGTGTCCTTTGGAAAGGGTTAACGTATCCTGGCAGTCGCGTTTACATTTCTCTTCCGCATTAGTATTTGGACAGCTGGATTCAATAAGAGAAACACACACAAAAAAACCCTACAATGTGTCAGGATTGCCTTGCATGTTGCTGAAGCGGGTGGATTTCGACAGTTGCTGTGCCTCATCAAGAGCAAAATCTCATCTGTTTTGATGGAGAATAACTCTAATCTCTATGTTTGTGCATTATGGAGGCATGTGCTTGGAGATGCAATGTGTCTGGTGGGTTTATTTTGTTGTTGTCCCAAAGAACAAGGTATGGAGACTCACCGAATCCTGAGCCTCTTGAAAGATGTTTTGTAGCTGCGATTTAAAGTGGTTGTGTTTGACCTCTTCTGGAATTTACAGAATTGATTTGGGATCCTAGATGCATTTTCACTATGGTTTTGGAGTGATTAGAAAATATCCTTTTGCATCTGAGGTCCACTGATATCCAGCATTAGCTGTCTCACAGTGGCCTTCAAGACACCTGGGAGATGTTGGGAAAACAGATATGGGTGCATCTACACTGTAGAATGAATGTGGTTTGACACCACTTGGATGGCCATGGCTCAATGCTATGGAGTCAAAACGGTTGTCACCTTTGTATTGTCGAAGGCTTTCATGGCCAGGATCACTGGGTTGTTGTAGGTTTTTCCGGGCTATATGGCCATGTTCTGGAGGCAATTTTTCTCCTGACGTTTCGCCTGCATCTATGGCAAGCAACCTCAGAAGTAGTGAGGTCACTCTCAGGCACGCCTGGCGGGGACGAGAGAGCGGGCCTTCTCGGTGGTGGCCCCCCGGCTATGGAACTCCCTCCCTGCTGAAATAAGACAGGCGCCTTCCCTCATGGCCTTCCGCAAGGGCCTGAAAACCTGGCTCTTCGAAAAGGCCTTCAATTAAGTGCTATGTTTTTGGAATGACCACCGGAATGGACCATGACTATGAGACTGGTTATGACCCCAAACAAGACGAAGCGGATTTTTAGTTTAATTAGTTGTGTACTCGTGAGATGTTGTGTTATGGTCTCGATTTATTGTAAACTGTTGTCTTTCTATGTTCTATGTTTTGTACACCGCCACGAGTCGCCCCCGGGCTGAGAGTGGCGGTTAACAAGTGCAAATAATAAATAAATAAATAAATAAATAAATAAATAAATATAGCCCGGAAAAACCTACAACAACCCGGTTGTCACCTTCTCTGCCCAAGAGTGCTGATGCCTCTTACTTACTTAATAGCCCAAGGATGATGGTCCTCCAAGTCTGAAGCCTCACTGAGATACAACTCTCAGGATTTCATAGCATGGAGCCATGGCCATTCAAGTGGCATCAAACTGCATTAATTCTACTGTGTAGATGAACCCTACAAAGGCGGTTAGACCAGTTCCATCCTTCCTTTCCCTACAGCATCACATTGACTTTGGAATCAGAGCTTGGAAATACTCTCTCTTTGGATTATGGGATGAACATGAGAGTTGTAATCCAAAAACAAGGAACTCTTCCAAGATTCTTGCTCACTCTGGGAGTTACAATTTAGCCAGGGTTTCTTCTAACCATGCTTGGATCAGCTTTGTTGCTGTTATGTACCTCCAAGTTGTTTTGAAGCTATGGCAACCCTAAGGTGAATTGATCATTGTGTTTTCTTGGCAAGATTGGTTCAAAAGACACTTAGCATTCCCTTCTTCTAAGGCTGAGAGTGTGTGACCAAGACCATCTGGATGATTTCTCAGTCAAGTGGGGATTTGAACCCTTGTTTCCAGAGTTGTAGTTCAATGCTCAAACTCTTCTGTTATCTATGTATTGTCGAAGGCTTTCATGGCCGGAATCACTGGGTTGTTGTAGGTTTTTTTCGGGCTATATGGCCATATTCTAGAGGCATTCTCTCCTGACGTTTTGCCTGCATCTATGGCAAGCATCCTCACTACCTCAGAGGATGCTTGCCATAGATGCAGGCAAAACGTCAGGAGAGAATACCTCTAGAACATGGCCATATAGCCCGAAAAACCTACAATAACCCTCTTCTGTTATCTCCTTCTGCTTTGTGGCTTTCAGACTGCTCTCGTGTATGACAATCCAATGTTATCTCCTTCTGCTTTGTGGCTAACCAAGCGCTCTTGTGTATGATGAACCAATCCTAGAATTTCTTAGTAAAGTTTCTTCCAATGAGGTTTGACACTGGCTTCTTTTGAGGCTGAGAGTGTGTACCTTGCTTAGGGTCAACCACCACTGAACAGGTGTACGAACTCTAGTCTATCAAGACACACAAAAAATTATTCCATGTTGGTTGAATGAACTATTTAGCAAGCATAGCTGAGTCTACATACATATTAATGACACAGTTTTGAGTATGTTTATCTAGATTTAAATTCCATTTGCTCAACAGGGCATACTTGAAAAAACTTGAAAACGTTCATCCATACAAAGCTGGAGGTATGACATATGTGGAGTAAGGCCTCCGTTCTGGGTTTTAGACCGAACATTAAAAGAACTACCCAATTTACTGGGTGCCCTGCACCCCAATGACATTCATCCCCTTAGCCCAATCCTTTTAAAAATCCAGATTAATATTCAGAACGTTTTCATCACCTCATTGGCATGGAAGCTGCATCCACTTATATATATAAATCTTGCAATGCTCATCCCAGACACATCAAACATGGGTTAATTTGGATGAAATCAAGGGCTTCGCTTTCAAGACCATGTCTTGAAAAGTGGTGGTTTTGACTGCCGATAAAAGCAGTGATGAC